ATTTCACTTAAACTGGGGAACTAAAAACAGGAAAATCGAAACAGTCAAAAGTTCATTCAAAAGTTCATTCAAAAGTTCATTCATTCAATGTACGTTAAGATTGTAAATTATGTCATTGTCTGTTACTATTAACACTCGGCAGTGACCGATGTATATATATCCGTCAAGGGCGATCGTGTGGCAGTGGTTAACGAAGGATATATTCTTAATTTGTAGCGTAATAAGTAAAAAATGAATATAAAAATAACTTACAAACAAATTAGTTGAGGCATTGAATATTCATTCTTCTCTTCTTTCGTTTTACAGAATTCTACTTCAATTTCTACGTAATTCCCTATCACTTAAAAAAATAAACATAAAGTTACACTATTAAAAAATAACTGTCAAATATATTATAAATAAAAAATATTAATTACAGTATAAGGTTCTGTTTTATATTTTTATAATGTTTTATAATGTTATAATGTATAAAAAAATATTTGAGTTATTAAAATTAAGGTAAATTTACTTACAAATATTTGTCTACGAACAATATGTAAATGTTTTTATTATTTCACTGCAATAAACTTACGCCAATTTCCAATATTTTCCAAGTCATTTTCACTACAGGAATCTGGAATACAAACATCTAAACGCAGATCGTCCAACAAGCTTACAATTTGAGATATAGAAAATGGTTTCTGAAAAATCACAAGAATTACAATGCGATTAATGTTTTGGGTTTTAGAACAACATTATTCTAGTTTATAAACGACTGTATTTTTGCTATTTTTGCTTCCTGATACCCTTCAAATCCTATGTATATCAGCAGTAATCACGTTTAGACGCTACATACACGTTTAATTAGAAAGCAGCGATTTCAAATTCGTTTGGTTCAACTTTTTGTAAATGATACAAATAACAGACATTAAGCATGGCGTTAAAAATTCAAAGTAGAAGATCTTCGTTATTGAAAGTTGTTCTTGTACTGATAAAGGCTTTTGGAATTTTACTGTATGTAAATTGTAAAAGACACTAGCTGCTAAAGAGAATAATTAAATAATAAAGGTTATGTATTGCAATAACGAAAACGTTATACTGATTTGCATTAATGTTAAGAAATAATCGATGAAACTTATTCAACTAATGTTTTCAGAATACATATCATTTTTTTTTAGGAAAGTTTGTACTTAAATTTTTAATCGACTTTCAACTGAAAACATCCGAAGTACATCTGTAAGTAAACAAAATGATATCATCTAGAGTAAAAGTCATTCGCGAAACATTACATACTGCCAACTTAGTAATTTCCTGCTAAATTTAAAGTCAAATCGGCAAGATGAAAGAAATATTTAAAAAAATATATAACTCTACGAGAAATTTAGGAATAAAACGGTAACTATGCCCATAACGTTTAGCGAGTTTAGTGAAGAATAGTAGCTTTTAAAAATTTCATATTCAATGACTGTTCTCCCATCGAGATTCGGATCAAATAGCTTAATAGTGCCAACACACCTGCCTTATAAAGTGAATATTTGTGTTTTTCTAGATTGTCAAAATAAACATATTTTACATATATATCGCACCTGGAGTTATAACTATTTAGGAAAAACTTGTTGCATTCTTTAACAGAACTTTGTTAGTTTTATGCGGAATGTCATGTTTGATGAAAGGTTGTCAGAATATTATTTTTGACAAGTTTGTAGCAGTTTTTCCTAATGTACTGTTCTGGGCGTTGATATATAAGAAATAATCTTTGCCTTTCTACACAGGAACAAATCGCCGAATTATATTCTGTTTCTACTGTATTAATTAGATTTCGTGGTAAACGAGCATACAGGAATAAATAAAATTATTGAAACTTATACGGCACTGACGCTGCTTATAAACTTATATAATACTGCATGGCTATGTACAGAACGTTGTAATGAATGACTGTACGCGCATAGCATGTAGACAAACATTGACAGAATACTGACATTTTGTAACTTGAATTACCTCTTAAAGTGATATCTTATACTTAAATTAGTTAACTACGGTATTTATTAGTTCAAATAATTAAGGAAACACAGAATGCGATTACGTCCATCAGCACCAAAAATCTTATCTGTAAATCTTACGACTATTATGTGGAATTGGTTTCACTTTTCTTGTAAATAATTATTTATTTAAGTTATTTTCAATATTCTATAATGTTATTATTAAACATGGCTTGTACTGAAATGTGTACACGCTAACTGACTTAATTATTTTTATCAGTAAAAAATAACAAAATTATCGTTATATACTTACAAAGAGTTTTTTCAATAATTGAACGATTGTGATATCGAACGAAGAAATCATCTTCATTGTATCCTGTCGTAACTTTGGCAATTCCATAAGAACTGAACAGAATTTTCCTCTGATGATTTTATTTTCTATGGTTTCGATATCAAGGCATTGATCGTAATCACCTTGCATCCACAATGTTCCTCGTAAAAATCCCGAGGGAGGTTTACCGATAGAATCCAACACTGAAACAACAAACAGAACTTTAAACATTGAAAAAAATTTGCAACGAGTTGCTTAACATTCCGGCAATATTTAATACTAAAAACATCTGTTATGATTATTTATATATAACATTTTTTTATAATTGGTTATTGTGAAATCCAGAAGTTTTGCCGACTATTTGTCGATTAATTGTCCTGTATTTGCTTAAAATCTAATTAAACTTTCCTTTAACCTAAGTGAAACCTAACGGGAAAAAAACTTTACGTTTACATTCGACATAAACATCTGTTTAATTCGAAACTAATCCCACATTCCAACGCCAAAGTTTACAGTTAGCATGGTCCCGAGAACAACTCTGACCCATCTGCGTACCTTTTACCTCACAAGAATCAATCACGTGACCATTCTCCCACGCCGATCTTATAAAAATCCCTTCCTTCCCCTTCTCGGGAGAGTCGTTCCAGAGCACGTGCCAAAAGAAGATAAATTTCAAATAATGTGTCCTTTTTTTTTTAACCAGCGAACTTTCCTAAATCCACGATTTAAATATTTAACCAGTGAACTTTCCTAAATCAGTGAATTTTCCTAGCCAGTGAATTTTTAACCAGTGAACTTTCCTGATTCAAAGAGTAAAGTGGATAACAGATCAAGAGGTATGGAACCAATTATTGTAAGCTCTCTCTCGGTCTCTCCGCGGTTTAGGGACGTGTATTACTCGAAATAAATTGCTAATTTTCCTTATGTTATATCTGGCAACCTCGTTTTCTCGTATATCGCCTGTCGTCTCACCGACGCGCTCCTCCCTCCGCCACTCGACCCGTTACAACGGGAAAAGAAACCCTTCAACCACCCATCCTGACAGTGAAAGGGTTTAACAACCTGTGGCCGGATCGGGAGACTTACCCTTTCCTTCCCGGTGGTTCACAGTTATTATAAAACGGTAAAATGTATAATTTTGAGTGTAAAAAAGTAATGAAAAAAAATTGTAAATGCCAGTGGCGTGCTGTCATTGGAAGTGGTGGATGCGGCGCTTTCCTTGTATTTTCTAAAAAATAAATACATATGTGAGATTTTCAGCGGGCTACTGGGCTAATCCCCAAATGACCACTTCTCTGCAACAGATTGATAAAACCCAATCTCTGATTTGTTGGATGGCTAGGAAGGCAAAAGTAAGTCGGCAGGTGCCGTTTAGAGACAAGAGACAGGTTTAACAAACTAAGCAAGCATTTATTTATATAACGGAGCTAGGATACGTAGGTTAAATGCGGTTAAATACTTTCACTATACAAAAAGGGACGCTTGAAAACAATGCAAATACCTCTATGAAGATATGTCAAATGTGCGTTCACGAAATGCCGTATGAATCGTAGTCCAGCGTAGAACTGTAGTATGGCGATAAGTATGGAAGTTCGAAGTCGTGGTCTGATTTCTACCGTTCAAGTCTTTTCGTCCGTTCGAGTCCGTTGTATGGATATGCACACATTGACAAGTATAACTTCCTTTGGAACTGCCGGAGCTTCCGGGGACTCGAGCTGTTATACGCGATTCGTGGAAAATCAGTCACGTGATCGACTTCTGTTGACACCTACCGTGCATTCCGATCAACTAAGTGTCAACTTTCCCACCTAAGTGTGAAAACAATTGGTGACCTCTGATATACTTTTCACCAAGAGTGTTTTTTTTTTTTTCACCTGAGTTGTTTACAAAGATATTTCCGACATCGGCGTAAAAATTGCGGATCTCACACATATTATTTTTAATTATATGAAAATAACAGCCACATTATGTATCTTATTACAAATTTCTATACTACAGTATAAAAAAAATAAAATTGCTATTGTATATTCGAATATTAGTGGCGGGGTGGAAACGCTGTATTGTCAGCATCCAAAAAACGTAGGTTCGCGCATGCGCTTTACAGAGCACCAATCTCACCCGGTTTAGCTGGTAGAAGCCTAGGACCTTGGGTGAAAGCTACACGTGTACCGCATCCAATTCTATCTAGGATCGGTTTTGGGCTGTTAGCCGCCTGCCTGCTAGATATTTGGCTGCCCTCGCCGCATTATGTGAATCGCGAGTAGATTTATAGCTTAACTCAACCGATAAGAATTTACTGGTATGTTTTTATGATAGTTCTGTATAGTTGACAGAGTTAAAAAAAATCCATTAAAATATTTGATATTTTTATTTCGCTCTCAAATTTTATAATACTCACAGATTTCGATGTTAAACCAGTGATATTACGATTTCGTATATCCCATCTTTAAGAGGATGTAGAAAAAAAAAAACGTGTATAAATTCTTGTATAATGTTAAAAAATTAACTGATACTTTGGTAGCATCGTTTACATCTAAATTTAATGAATGAGAGATGCACCAGGTACAGAAAAAGCTCTAGAATTTATTTTCCTTACATTTACGATTTATGTATCCGATTGTCATAAAAATTTGTCTTTCCACTTTTTTCCCGAGACTACAAATATTCGAGGACAAAGTAACCGGTTTCGACTTATTTCTACTTAAGAAGTAGTTAGATAATTAAGCGATTAGGGAAGTGGGAACACAAATAAAACACTGCTGAAAGACCCGGTATTTTACTTAAACAAAAGCTTAACCGATACAATGTGGACTGATTTCTTCGTAATATTAGATGTAATAAAGACAAATTTTTCCAGTTTAATAAAAGTGACTAAAAGTTGTAAATTTTGGAAACTTCCGTGGACACCTGGTCTTAAAACGAATTAGTTAAAACACAAATGACTATTAAGTTTAACAAATTTAGATTTTTACAGCTATGGCAAGAAACGTTTGAAATTTACAACAACTCTGTCGCCTCCTTTGAGGTATACTAGTGATGCGACAAAAAAGGCATTTGACATTAACCGGTATCGGCACCCTCGGAATTTGGCCTGCATGAACGCACCGCACACCTACCAAGAACGTCTCTGATTCCATCCACTAGTCACGGGTATAGACCAATCTTAACTAGGTGGATTGTTTTAATACTTAAAAAGTAAAGACTATTTAATGTTATTTTTATGTACGTTTCTTCACAAAAATATATTTACTTATAATTTTCTNTAAGTAACCAACAGAGTAACAAAATAAAAATATAAAATGTAAAAAATGTACATAGAATTATTAAGAAATACAATTACTAACACATCCAATAAAATTACTAATTTCATTGGTTAGGGCACTTATTAAATTTCTTAACTATAAACTTCCATGCAGAGAAAAGTCTTTCTGCGTCCCTCGCATTTAAACAGCCTTCCTGTATTTTACTCCTATAAATTTGCAACTTTTCACTTGTCAACGCCAAAGATGGAGAAGATAAAGGTTCTATGATGTCTGCGTCATTTCATTTGACTACAGATCCTGGTGCTTGCGCCATTTCGGACAAAATTGTTGCATTAGACTCCTATGTGAAATTATAACTATGTTCGTTGATTCTAAGTCCCAAACTCCTGGTGGTTACTCCAATATAGTATTTTTGAACGCCCAATTGCATATTGTCATAAGGAATTCTATAAACCCCTGCTTTATCATTTTTGAGGTTTTTGTATAAATTACGGGCCCTATATATAAGCATTTTCGAACCTTTTCTGCGAGCAATCTCTNGTTTTAATACTTAAAAAGTAAAGACTATTTAATGTTATTTTTATGTACGTTTCTTCACAAAAATATATTTACTTATAATTTTCTTTAAAAGTATATTCATACAATTAAATATTTTGTACCAGGTATGTATAATTGTATATCCATCACATATTTTATTTTAACAAGTAAGTTTTTATAATTTGATTTTTAATTTTAGCCCTTATATTGTGGCTAGTGTTTTAGAATGTAATTGCGATATTGAAAATTTATTTCTAAAATGTATTGGCTCGAGTCCATATAATGATGAAGAAAACATTGTTAAAAGAGAAAGACCAATGCCTAAATTAAATATAAATACGTCAACAAAAATTTGTTCGACATTTTCACGATAAAATTTATGAAGACGTAAAATAGCTTTGTGCACGCATAAAAATGCAAACATTGTTTTGTTGGCCTTGCCTACTATTCTCAAATAAAACTAGTGTGGAATAAGAATGGCTTTGACGATTTAAATAATTTGAATAAAGCTGGCAAAAAACACGAAAATCGTAAATATCCATCGGTTCTTTCGTAAAATTGAAGCAATTTGGAAATCAAAATAGAAGGGAATTTAACATTAGTACACAATATAAAATAAATATTGAAAATTATAACAAGATAGTTACGGTTAATAGATATATTATATTTTAATTACTAGATGTTATCGAAGCGAGAATTGGCATTTAGAGGGCATAGAGAATCTATTAAATGTAATATAACAGAGTTCATTATATTGAACTTGCTTATTTATTAAGTGCGTCAGATAATCTATTAATTAAAAATACATTTAAAGAAGTCTACGGTTTTAAAGGCTTATCGAACAAACGAATACGAATGGGAGCCTAGGCCATCACTGACTGATTGCCCCTGGAAGTCGGCTTCTTATAGAAACACAGCTTGCCTATCATCAAATGTCACGGCACGCCACTTGTAAATGCTAATACAATGGAAGCTCTCTTAACGAGTATTTCGCATGACGATCAAAACAAATTTTAAAAATTCTCTCTCTTAACGAGNGACACACAGCTTGCCTATCATCAAATGTCACGGCACGCCACTTGTAAATGCTAATACAATGGAAGCTCTCTTAACGAGTATTTCGCATGACGATCAAAACAAATTTTAAAAATTCTCTCTCTTAACGAGCGATGGTTCGCTTAACGAGTGACGAAAAGAGGGGAAGTCCCGGATTGTCTGCATGCTCCATCAGTCTGTGTT